ACTGGAAGTGTCCATAGAGGCCCCTGCAGGGAATCGTGGAGGTGTCGAAGGGACCATCCGGCGCCGTCGCTGAGCAGGGTTAGGCCCGCCCGTTGCACCATCTTCAGCTCTCAGATCTGGGGCACGTGGCAACCTCATAGACCCGTTCCAATCGGGTAAGGCAATCGGAGGAATATCCAAAGCAGAGCAAAAAGATGGCAGTTCTTCAGGAACACGTAGGTTGAAATTACGGCCATTCACTTGAGCAGAAAGGCAGAACGGAAACCGCCATCTATAGGGGATGTTGCGCGTGCGGAGAGTATCCAATAGGGGGCGCAGCGCCCGCCTTTGTTGCAGGGTCAGATTGGAGAGGTCCTGATATAGCTGTATCTCCGCCCCCTCATAAGCAAGATGTCTTCTCCCCCTGGCGCATTTGAGGATATCCTCTTTAAGCGGGTAACTTTCAAGACAGCAAATTACGTCCCTGGGAGGGTCTGTGTTTTCCCCCCCTAGGACGGGTCGCCCGGTGTACACGTTCAATGGCAATCATGGTTGAAGGTGGGCGACCTAGGAGGTCATTAAAGATAGCTATTACCGCTTTAGGGACATCACAAGGTTCCACTGATTCAAGAAGGCCCCGGACCCTAATGTTGCGTCTGCGTCCACGATTGTCTAAGTCCTCAATGTGTCTATAAAAATCTCGAATGGTCGACACGTGCAGCGCTGATTGTTGTTGTAGATCAGAAATTGCCGCCTGATTCTGCCTGGTATCCAGCTCCACCCGCTCCACCCTTGTGCCCATAGAGCGGAGGTCATCCCTTAATTCAGAGAGGGCAGAGGTTAATGTGGTGGTTAAAGTGGTCTTTATGTCAGCTGCCACAGCTTGGAGGTCCCTTAATGATAGGGAATGTGTAGCATGTGAGGAATCCAGCTGTGGCACTGTGTCCAGCACAGCATATTCGGCTGTGCTTGCAGAGCCTGTGTCAGAGACTGCAGAGGGAGGGGGAGAGGGGGAGGACGCTGCAGAGGGAGAGGGCTGCGGCCCGTCTTTCAGCTGGGAGCGGAAGAGCTCCTTTATATGCCTCCCCTGAGCGTTCTGACCCCGCGGGGACCGCGATCTGGCCCCAGAGGGTGCCCTGTCGGTCTTCCCCCATAGCAGAGGGGAGATGTCTCACCCGTCAGTGCAGAGCGGCAGCAAGGTAGGAACCGGCCGGCGGGAGCTCCGTGATTACGCGGCCATCTTCACTCGCAGCTCGGCCACGCCCCTTTATATATTTTTTTTATTTATTTACCTATATATTTGATGTAATTTTAGTTATTCCCTACTATTTAAGGGTATATATAGTTTGAGAGCGCTGTTTATGTCATGCAGTTTAATGAGCTCTCAGCCTATTTAACATTAAGTGCAGCCTTAACACAGCACACCTTAACACATTTGGACATCAGTGATCAAAAAGTTATGTTGAGTTAGCTGGCAATCAAAATTCAGCACTTGTTAGTTATGGCTCAACATCAAAGTGCAGACAGGAAAGTAAGTTTTATGATTGACCATCTTTTTATGTGTGGGAGGAAAATCGGCATCCATTAAATATATGTAGGGCATATTTTCATTATACAAAGATTTCCAGCAATATTTTGTGACATTCGCACATCAGTGTAATGTTATGTAAGGTTTTTTTCTGCATGTAGTTAGAATGTCTCTTTACAATACGTGTTATGGATTAATCTGGAATGGCAATCAAGGTGGCTGCTGCTGGAAAGTTAATTTTTAATATGGAGTGTATAATGTTTACCAGTTCCCGCCTGGCCAATAGCACAAAGGCGGCGAGCAGCTTGTCCCTCCTGGTGGCGTCCTTTCAGTCATGCGCAGTTTGCCTGCCCGCAGAGCCGCGCAGTGACGCGATCTGTCACCGGCCGTGTACCTCGAACACTGCCGATGACAGATCTGTGTATCGGCCCCGTTGCCAGTACCATGTGACCTGCTGTGACCAATCACAGCAGGTCACATGACAGTTGTATACAATGGATGGCTTCCTTTCATGCCATCCATTATATACAAGTGTGGCTAGCTGTGAATGGTCACAGCGATCACATGCACAAGCTGGGCCAATCACAGCCCAGCTGTGTCATGTGATTAGCTGTGGCCAAATCACAGTTAAGCACAAAAAGAAAACCCTGAATGAATTGATTTCATTCAGGTAAATGCTTGCTTATAGCAAAGAAATTCTTTGCTATAAGAAAATTGTGTAAAAAAATAAATAAATAAAAATAAAAAAAAATACTAATCACTTTCCCAAAGTAGTACAATGTTACTATAGTAACATTATACTACTTTGGTCATAGTGAAATATGAAAAAAAAAATCTTAAAGAGAAAAAAAGTAATAAAATTTTTTAAAAAATTATCAAATTTTTTTTTTTTTTTTCGTACTGTCACCAGTCAGTGTCCCTGATCACCGCCATGCCAGTTATATGATGATGCTGTACTGCACTGGTGATAGTATGTAAAAAAAAAATAGTGAAAATCATTTTTTTTATTCATTTCCGAAACATTATGACAAAAAAATTACAACTTCAAAAAACTCGCCATGCCAAATACGTCGGACTGTCTACTTAGCAAAAAGGGGTCATTTGGGGGATATCTGTACTGTTCTGACATTCTTGGACATCAAGAAATTAGATTGGCTGTCAGTACTTCAGGATTGATCAATTTTCAGATATATCCCATAGTTTGTGAACTCTATAACTTTCCTACAGACTAAATAATACATCCTAATTTGTGTTATTTTCACCAAAGACATGTAGCAGAATACATCTTGGCCTAAATTTATGAAGAACAATTATTTATTTGCAAACTTTTAGAACAGAAACAAAGAAAAACGTGTTTTTTTTTTCAAAATGTTTGGTCTTTTTTTGTTAATTTAGCAAAAAATAAAAACCCCAGCGGTGATTAAATACCACCAAAAGAAAGCTCTAGTTGTGTGAAGAAAATGATAAAATTTTAGTTTGGGTACAATGTTGTATGACCGCGCAATTGTCATTCAAAATGTGAGAGCGCTGAAACCTGAAAATTGGCCTGTGCAGGAAGGGGGTAAAAGTGCCCTGTATGGAAGCTGTTAAAACCTCTACCAGGTTTTTCTTGGTGCCTGGGATTCCATTGGGGAGATTTCCCCTTAGACTAGGTTCACACCTGAGTGGGTGATTGTAACCACCTGCTCAGAAAAAAGCACTGCTGCTCAGGAGATGTGTGTGGGTGCCATTAATCCTAATGGCACCCCAACACACTGGGAACCGGTTTCCGCATGGGCAGTGTTTTAAAAAATAGTGCAAGGACCGTTTCCCTTTGTTTTCAGGAAACACAGCAGCCCATTCAAATGAATGGGCTGCCATGCCTGTGCAAAACACTGCTCGCAGAGCCTCACAAGTGTGAACGTAGCTTTATTGTGAGTCTCAGTGAAACCTTTGACACTAGGATAACAACTGAGCGAAATGAGGATCAGTGAGACAGAAAGGTACACACAGCAATAAAAACTTGACAGTTTCTGGCAACCCCACTGCAGTAAAATGTGTTTTTGTTGCTTTTTCTGTCCCTATTACGAGATTACCCATCCTTTCCTGTCCTTCCGACTCGCTGTCCCTGGGAAAGCTAGTGAGAGAATATCTCACAATCGGGGACACAGACGGCAATAAAAACTATCTGAGATGCTATGCCTTCACTACTGCATGAAGGTAAGCAAAACTGATTTTTCAGACATTCAAGTACCTCGGGGACTGTAATAAAGTATCTAGATTTCTTTAATATTAGAGTAGAGTTATTTATTTTACAGGTTGTATATAGCACCAATAGTTTGTGTTTTACAAAAAAAAAAGGAGATGGTACAGGTATAATACAATTTAAGACAATTTAAGACGAGAGAAAAGCTGGTCATAGATGAGTAGGGGTTTTTTTTTTTTTCTTTCAACCAGCAGCTAAAAAAATGGATTCCTCCATCCACACAAACTAAGCAAATGGAGGAATCCCCCCGCCAGGACATTACATTCTGACAGCGAGACCCTGCGTTGTCAGAATACTCTAATCAGCAGCTGTTGACTGACAAATGTTTTCCAACTTGTCCAACAGAGACAGCCACACACTCACCGAAGTTTGTGTGGTCCCTCCTGAACCAACTGAACTTCGATCCGTCTATGACTAGCTCTAGGGGGGGCACTGCTCATGATCTGAATCTAAATGAGTTACTGCACTTTCTGGTTACAGGCTTTGTAGTAGTCAGCTATTTGGCTCGCTTAACATTCATTCAACATTCATATGCACATGGGTATAACACATCTAACCTTGCAGTCGTTATGTTTAAAGAACCAAATTCATGAAATATATCTGTCATTCTCATGCAATTTATGCCATTCTTTAGAAAAATCATTTTTTAATATTGGGGAGGCAAATGTCCTGTTTTTTTTTTTTATGAGTATTTGTTTTGCACCTAATCTTGTTGTATTGACTTTTTTCTAGATTACTTTGAACTATGCATGTCATTGGCTTCCTCACATTGATCGCTGTCCAGGCAGCCGTACTTGGCAGCAGCCTTCATGATGACACCATTACTGAGTTTGCAGTGAAGATTTACCATGAACTAAGAGCGACAAAGGAAGATGACAATATATTCTTCTCTCCTCTGAGCATGGCTCTAGCTGTTGGAATGGTGGAGCTGGGTGCTCGTGGATCCAGTCTTAAGGAGATTCGACATGCTCTGGGTTATGACAAACTAAAGAATGGTAAATACCACCCATATATAGTCTGGTATTCCCAGCCATATTGAATGTGCATAGTGAAATAATTGGGAGTGTGCTATCAGTGTAGTATATTAGATAGCTTTAGAATACAAATACAAGTTATTTGAAGTCATGAGGGAGGCCTTTGCAGTTTTCAACAGGATTTATCTTATGAGTATAGCACTCCAAGCAACTAAGACCTGAATTGCTAATTTGGTTATGAAGATCTAGACTTCATCTCCAAAGTTTTGGCCTACCCCTCACATACTGCATCTAACAATTAGTCTTGCCAATGTGAAGTGCAACCTAACTGCTTAACGGTGATGTGCAGAAGTGGTGGACCTGATTTTGAGGTTGGAGAAAGGGAGAGTTCTGCTGGAACCTCTAGTTTCAGGGTTCTCAGGCTGCTCTGAAAGATTAGTAAAGTTATGCACATTTGGCACATAACCACTTTTAAATTATTTAGTTTAGACTAAAGACATTGTCGGAAAGAAAGAGTCAGCCTGCATAGCCAGATTCTAGCACAAGTACCTGCTCATGTTCACAGTGCCGCTCATATAATTGTGCCTGCTACTTAAGGTTGAAAGTTGCAGGATTCCAATGCTGAGAGATCTTCAGCTGTAACACTCAGATCTATGTTTCTGGCTGGTTTTCTGATTGATCTGTGGTTCTTCTCTGTCTGTTCTTCTGCTTCTGTACTGACCCTATCTCGTTCTCGGACGATGATGCCTGCCCGTTGCTGTTCTACCTCATTGCCTGCAAATTGCTGACCCAGTCTGTTTCTGTCTCTGCCTCTGCCTGTTGAATTGGTGCCACATTGCCCAGCTGTTTCTGACCCTTGCCTGTTCCTTATCTCTTCTTTTCTGTGACACTCTCCTATTGCCTTCAGTTGCTTTTTGAGAGCGCTCTGAAGTTCCAGTGACATCACTGTCAATTGGCACTTCTGCCACTTTTTTGTCCATGCCCTCTGTGTCCTCCTACCCAGGGGTGCCTGGACAAGAGAAATAAATGATGCCTTCCCAATCATTTCAGGCTTCCTATCCAGATATGTAACTGTATCTTTCAGCATTTGGGTCCTGTAGGTCTTAAATAGCCCACTTGGCTCCACAATAAACAATCCGTGTGCTTGCCACGAGATGCCTGCACAGTATGTGCTTGTGTGCAGACCCACGATTATGCACAATTCTATGAACAGAACTATGTACATACACAGGTTGCCATGCTAAAAAAAATCTGGATTTGTGGGCTGGCTGGATCTTCCTCACACATGTATCTATTTTAAGTTAACTCTCAAATATAGGTTTACTTTACCTTTCTCAATGACAGCAGTAATATCTTTAATCAAGCCAGTCATGTTGCAATGGTAACTTGTAATCCAGGACTGGACAATACCCATTAGACATGGCAACTAAAAACACTTTCTGGCAACTGGAACATTGAGGAAACGTGTGAGAACTTAGCAGCTAATGTGACTGTATTGACAACCAGTGTTGCACAAGATAAGCCTGAGCTAAGTCCTGCTGGCATGTGAGAAAGATGAACTGAGCTCAGTCTGTTTTGTGCAACACCAGATGTCAATACAGTCACATTAGCTGTTATATTTTTGCATAGTGCTGATATTACTTAATGAAGGACCTGACATTTCAGACCCCACCTCCTCTCTCGCAATTGCTACACTGACCAGCACTTTATTAGGTACACTTGTTCAATTGCTCTGTAACACCAGTTGCTAATCAGCCAATCACATGGCAGCAACTCAATGCATTTAGGCATCTAGACGCGGTGAAGACAACTTGCTGAGGTTTAAACCAAGCATCAGAATGGGGAAAAAATGGGATTTAAGTAACTTTTGAACATGGCAAGGTTGTTAGTGCCAGACAGGCTAGTCTGTGTATTTCAAAAACTGCTGATCTACTGGGATTTTCACTAACAACCATCTCTAGGGTCTACAGAGAGTGGTCAAAAAAAAAGAAAATATCCAGTGAGCAGCAGTTTTGTGGACAAAAATGCCTTGTTGATGTCAGAGGAGAATGGACAGACTGGTTTGAGGTGATAGAAAGGCAATAGTAATTCATGTCAATATGGACCAATATCACTGAGCAATGTTTCCAACACCTTGTTGAATCTATACCGCAAAGAATTAAGGAAGTTCTGAAGGCAAAAGGGGATCCAACCCGTACTAGCAAGGTGTACCTAATAAAGTGGCCTGTGAGTGTATCTCAGCATGTTGGGGAAAACCCCATGCCCAAATGCTCTCTACCGCTTCTCAAGCTGATATTTGCCGGCAACAGGAGCAGCTAGCATTATAAAGGCAAACCATAGGAATATATGGCACTTTCTGTTTGTCATTTTTAGGGCTTTTGCACATCGGCTGCATGAGCCCTGTTCAGCATAACTGCAGCCATAATTGTACACCCAGGCAGCCCATGTACAGCATACAAAATTTTCTATTTTTTGCAAACATTCATACATTTCACTCATGTCTACAATAGAACCACTATATATACATAAGCAGAGCATCACACAGCAATTCATGTAATGACATGCCTTGTTCTACTGGGAATAGTTTTTTCTATATTTTTTATTAATTTAATTGTTAAAATAAAGTGTGTTCAAAATGAACAGAACAAATGTGTTCCTTTTGACTGTATGCATCCTTCAGCTACCTATATAGTCATATCCAGGTTGTGTAGTTCTGGGTGAGATTTGTCCGGGGCTGCTGTAATCAATACTGTACCTAGGATGGCACATCAGATTCATTACATGGCGTGTCCCAAATGCCTCATATCTGAGATTCATCAGCTTTTAGATATGAGAGCTGCTATTACACCCAGCTGCTAGTCTAAACTAAATGACAAATGTCCCAGAACAGGTCATTTGAGCTGAGAAGAGGCAGCGAGATAACCAGGCATACTGTTTGAAATTTGTTTTCTTATGTTACCAAGATATTCTTGTATAAATGTCAGAAAGTAAAGTTTTTCTATGTTTTTGCTGTAGTTGACCAATTATTGTGGATTACTGTTCTTTCACAAAACAATATGTATTTTGAATGTAATTGGGGATGCATTTACTAGTGCTGCTATACAATTTAGTGTACAAAATAACCTCCATTTTTATTTTTTTATTTTTTTTTCAGGTGAAGAATTTTCTCTGCTAAAAGATCTCTCTAGCATGATGACAGCCCAAGAAAGACATTATGTGCTCAGCATTACAAACTCCCTATATTTACAGAATGGATTTCATATCAGTGACAAGTTCATCCAGTTAATGAAAAAATACTTCAAAGCAGAAGTAGAAAATGTAGACTTCAGTCAAGGTTCAGCTGTAGCAATTCACATCAATGAGTGGGTGGAAAATCACACTAATAGTATGTTATCAGCCTCCATGGAGTATTTGGGGCATTTTTTTCATTACATAGTTTCCAGCAATATTTCCATCCAGTTGTCAGTGTAAAGTTTGTAATGTTTTGTTTGGATGTTTTTTCCCTCTAGTGAGAGATGAGCAGTATGTTTAGGATGTACACAATTCTTTACACAACCCCAGCACCCATCTGTTTCATAAAATTCCTTTTTTGCATATAGAGTATGACGATATGGAATTGGCTTCTTAGCAAATGATGTGTTGTAAACCATTGCAACCAATCACATACAAACCTTGATTGGTCAACATAGGGTAATTTAAATCAGCAGTAAACCTGATTTTATAAAAAAAAAAAAAAATTCTCCTGCAAGGCAATGTCATAATGTGCTAGTATGCATCACATAGTAGCATATTATGTGAAACTTGCCCTAAAACGAAGCCCTCCAGCGGCACCTTGTCACTGCTAACCGGGCTTCCATCTTCACCCAGTCCTTCTTCTGGGTTTGTGGGCTCCAGCAGCTTGAATGGCCGAGCCGCGATAATGTCACTCCTGTGCATGCACGTGGGAATCACTTTTTATGGCATGCAACTCTGAAGGAACGGCACTTGCATGTGCAGGTGCTGCTACACAAGTAAATATCTCCTAAACGGTGAACATTTGGGCGATATTTACAGTACCTACAGGTAAGCCTCATAGGCTTACTTGTAGGTACAATTAAAAAAAATCAGAATTTACTACCACTTTAAAAAGTTTAGCCCACTTGGATAAAGAAAGATAGATGTATTTATTTTTTATTCAGGCAATATAGTTTGAGAATTCTAGTCACATGGCTTAGATAAAGACCCGTGTGAAAGGCATTTGATGGGTTAATTCTGTCTGCCTTTGACATCAGTTTGAGATGCTTCTAAGATCATGTAGAATTTGATGCAGGAGCAGTTGTCCTTCATTTCACCTGCTTCAGCTTGACTTGTATGTGGAGCTGAAAACAAAAGCCCACCAGCACTGTTCCTAATCCTTGTGTTAAAGCTTTGTGAATTGAGCCTATTTATATTATACCTACCCTCCTCTATCTGATTACTGGATAAAATAAAATCACTATGATTATGCCCATTTTACTTACGTAAAACTGCAGTCATCTGGCAATTCAGCCCCTAGTCTTCTCCTCTTATGTTTACTTCCTGCGGAAGTCCTGCTTCAAGTGTCCTCATGTCAGTTCCTGCATGATGTGGACACTTCCTATTGGATGTCCGTCAATTGGGGTCATTCTCATGTTGTAAAAGAAAACCAACATCAGAAGAAGGGAGTGAAGAGGAGACAAGTGTTCACAGATTCCATCGCACCGCTGAATTTACAGTCCCCCGCATTTGAAAAATGGTGGTGAAAGGCCTTGAGAGGGCACTTAAATGAGTATATTTTGAGATATATATTTATATAATTATTATTATAGGGAAACAAGCCACAGGTTATGCATATGATCTTCTTACCTGTGATTTTTCCAACCAAAATTAGTTATACAAAGCAATGCTTCTGCTCTAATATGTCAGCTCTGTGTGTCAAAGTGTTCCCATATTCCAATTATCCCGATGACCTGGGCCCAATTACAACCTGTGTCTGTCCAACAAACTAGCAGCAACAAAGTGGAAATGTATCGATCCCAATAAATATAAAAAGAGACGCTAAAAATATCATAAATGGTGCACTGTTAATATTATTGAAAACGGGTTAAACCTTACTCGAATGTAGGCTTATATTCAAAATCCGATAATATGTATGTAAAAGTGCTAATTACATAAAGTCCTGACTTAATACTCAGCTTCCCTTGTAAAAGAAATAATGAGAGGTTACACAACAAAAGCTGTTTGGTCATTGTGTTGCATGGGTCTCTGCACAGAAAGCATTTGAAACATCTAGGGGTTTATTTATAAAAAAAAAAGGGCCCAGCTATTTGTCCTATAACACTTCATGTAGATTTGTTCTGTGTGAATGGGACACAATCAAATGTTATTAAGCTATTATCTCCTGGCCGAATGGTGTGATTCATGCAGAATAGAGTGAATTGTGAAAATACTGCATTATGGCCGCTAGATGTAAATAAGTATTCATTTCCTATGATCATCATCTATTTCTGTTGGCCATATTGTAGTATTGTCCTGATTTGCTCAGTTCTAGATTAAGGAAATATAATACGTTCAACCTGGAGAGAAAATAGCTTAATAACGTTCATTGTTGCCCTTATTCGCACAGAGCAGTAGTACTTGCAGTTTTACAGGATGAGTAATGCTGCTAATTTTGTATATAAAAATATACTGTGTGTGTGTGTATCTATGTATGCTAACTTCACTTTTGGTGCAGTTACACTTCTATTGTAGTGCTCTCCAGCCTTCCAGTCTTGTGTTCATCTCATTCAATCCTATGGAGAGCTTGAAAAGATTTAGACAGGCAGCTGTGTGATTCCAAACTGCAGTACATCTGATATCTCACAGATGAGGAACATGTGAGCTTAAACCTTGCTAGTGGGAGCAAAAATGTAAATGTAAGGGCACCAAAGGTGCTGTTGCACTTTAAGTGCCTCCTTTGTAAAGGCACGTTTGCTTTTTAAGGGGGTTTTCATTTTAAGGGGTTTCTTTTGAAAAGTTGCATTTCCACTTTAAGAGTCTTCTTCATTTATATTGGCTGCCTAGTTTGTGATTTAGACCAAACTTTGAGTCTGTTTTTCTTTTTCCATTTATAAAACAATTTAATTGTTGGGTTTTCAGAACATAGAGTTCCCAGTTCCCCATGCTTTATATTTATCACTGTGGCTTTTGAGCATTGTAATAATGACATTATCTCCAGAAGCTGGAGAACCACAAACAAGCTGTCTTGAAACTTGCGTGCAAGATTACCGCTCTGTCAGCCACATTGCACATGTAGATAAGGGATTGGTTGGGAACTAGTTAACACTTTTATCTGTCAGGCTGACAGAAATGTCTTTCAAAAACCCCCAAGGAAAGGCATCTTGACATGTTGTTGCGAGATGGAGATGCAGGTCAGTGAACAAGGCTGAATAGATTGTATAGAGCTGAGAGAAAATCTGCTGAGTTATGGTATGCTCGGATGTGCAGTTAGCAAAATAAAATAATTTTCTACTTTGGGGAAAAAAGTGTATCTAAACCCAATATATTGCAGCTTACAGTTCTTTAGATCTGGTGACTGCATTTTTTTCCCCAGGCTTTCTTTTCACCTGATGGTCCTGCCAGCAACCTGCTTTCTGTCCATAGGGGCTGGTCACTTCTGATTTAGAATATAGAACACTTTGCCCTCACCTTTTTTTCCCCTATAATATAGAGAGGGGTGTTAAAGCAGTATTAAACCCAAAATAAAAAATGTGTTCTTTTACAGCCTACCAATTCTTAGATGTATTGGCTGTATTCATCTTCTCTTTTTAGTTTTTTTTTTTTTTTTTTTTTTTTTTTTTTTCCCCTTTATTTTCATCTGTTGATCTAACCATTAAGTGTCATTTTTCAACAGATCAAGCTGTCCAGCAATACAAGCCATTTAGCCCTGACAGGGTTCTTAAAATAATCAGCTTTTATTCATTTATGTAAACCTTTAACAAAAAAAAACAAAGTTAGTGTAACTGCTTAAAAAGTGTTAGAGTTCTTTAATTTTAGCTTTAATTTATTAAGTCTATCTAAATCTGCTAGAGCATTTACCCTCTCCCCAGACTGATAATGCTGTTGTCCCAAAGTTGTCTCCATTGCTCCTCAGTCCAGAGGGCAGACACCCTAAAACTGGCCATAGTTAAATTGAGATTTGGCCAGTTCAGCACGGACTAGCTGACGTTTGATCACCTATGGCCGTGTTCCAGAAAAGTCGATCTAATAATTGGCTTTTCTCAAACTGGCTTTTTGAAAAATTTGCTCTGATCAGCGCGCAGAATATGGCTGCAGCACTGATCAGTGTCTTCTGACAGTGGAGGAGTCCCCTTTGTCATAGTGCAATAGCGCAGCGGGGAGGATTCTTCCATCCACCTCGCTTGTGTGGATGGGGGAGTCTGTTCAGTTTTTCTGATCAGCCCACCGACTAATCGAAAAAAAAATAGATGCATGTATGGCCAGTCTAAGACTGGAAGGGTGTTGCTGGTAGGATCATGGGTTAAAAATAAAGGGGGGGGGGAAGCCTAATTAAAAAAAAAAATGTAACCACTACATTTATGGATTAATAAACTGCAGGGATGATGCCACTTCTGGGGATTTCAGTGCAGCAGAAACACTTTTTTTCAATGGGAATTTTGTTCCAATTCAACAGTTACAATGAAGTGCTTTTAATGACATGTATAACAAACTAAGATTTTCAGGGTTTACATATTTTTGATAAAGATGATTCATTTTTTTTTTTTTACCACAGCTCACCAACAGGTTTCTCATAATTATTCAATTCACCCTGTGTTTATCAGACATTGACCATAGAGATAAGTGTGTAGCCACAGAACTTATTGCTGCTGTTGGACACTTTTTCCTGATTTTTTAATTAACTTCTTCTAAGTAACTGTCCAAAAGAAAAAAAGGTACAACTAGATAAAAAGGCCATCCCTACAATCCAATTCCTTTTCATTTTTAAAGTAAAATTTATAGTGAAAACTTTTTTTGTTTTTGGTTCACTCATTGGATATATAGACATATGTCCCTGTGACTTGTTTTATAAATGGCAATATTCATCTATTCCCAACTGTTTTTGCCTATTATGAATCAGGTTGTCACTAGCCCAATTACTTGATCAATTCTATGGAAAAAATGGATATGCAATGTATTAAGCAGCTTTTAATGTTGTCTAGTCATAGGAAATGCTGAATATCCTTGGCTTTCTCCTGGTTTAATATATAGGATTAATAGAGCAAATTTAGTGTTGGTGATCTTAGTGATGGAGATATGAAAAATTATGCATGTCTTGAAGTTGACACTATTACTCTGTGCTGTTTTTCTTTTCATCCAACAGGTCGCATACACAATCTTTTCTCCTCTGAAGACTTCACTGACCTAACAAAGTTGGTTCTTGTCAATGCCATCTATTTTAAGGGCAACTGGAAATCCCAGTTTAGACCTGAAAACACCAGAACATTTTCTTTCACTAAAGATGATGAAAGTGAAGTGCAGATACCAATGATGTACCAGAAAGGAGAGTTTTATTATGGTAAGTGAATGGTAATTGTCTTTTTGGACTTTATAAGCCCTTAAGATTTCCCAAGTATTTCAATTTGGCAACCAGAAGATTTATATTTATTGTAACAGTACCTATGATTATAAAATAAAAACACGGGGGCATGGTCTGGCCACGATCCAATATGACCACTTAGCCTTGGAGCTCCCGCCAGCCGAGGACCTGCATCCCTGACAGACGGCGGAATGGGTGAGCACAGCACTGCCGCAATATGGGGAAAGCGGACCGGAACATCTCCGGTTCCCGATCCTGCTCACCCGGGTTTCTAACGTGTGGCAGTCCTGACATATCACGGAGCTCTTCCGCTCCCATCAGAGGGACATGCCGATGCCATCTCCCTCCCCTCCTCCTCCAGCAGCATGCACACAGAGCCCTGTGAGAGACAGCATGCCGTAGCACGATCTCTCCTCAGAGACCCACACTACCTGAGGGACCTTCATGCAGTGGCTGCTGATATAACAGATACATTAACAACAGACCTATGTAGTGACCTGCAAACACTGGACACCAGATTAGAAGGCGTTGAACTTACTACCAGAAAGCAAGCAGATGCCATACAACAGATACAAAAAATGACCATATTTCATTCGCAACATATCCGTGATTTCTATAGACACCTGGAAGACCTGGATAATCACGGAAGCAGACATAACATCAGAATACGCGGTCTACCAGAATCAGTGGAGCCGGGTGACATTCCTGAAGCTGAAATGGAAATGGAATGCGTACATAGATCTGTGTAGACACTCCACAGCGCAAAAAAAAAATATTTTTTTATAAAACAATTTAATAAAAAATCATATGTGCAAAAAGTCCAAAAGAAAGTCCCAAAATTATAAATGTGCTCCAATCCTAGAAAAAGTGCTCAAAAAAATCTTCAAAAGTGCTCACACCATCTGTGACTGACAATCCACTCCCCACTCACCAGATGGAGTGGATTCTTTGCTGGTCAGACTCCTCAACCTACGCAGGATGCACCTGCTGTCTTCCTATACCTGCATTATCTCCCTGCCCTGAAATGAGATCATAATGTCGCACATCTATAAACCCAATCACACCATTTCTCATCATCTTTTGGAGGGGGGGGGGGGAGAAAAAGACAAAGGCAAAGAAAGAAAAGAGAAAAGCTGGAGGTGAGTTTCGCCTCTGGACAGTCCTTGGTCGGTCTGATTGATCCGGGGACATACTGCATTATTTCCCCTTAATTACTCAACCCCACCTACTATCCCCATTTGGCCTTATGGGAAAATTACTCCTGCCTGTGGCTCGCCTCCTCCTGTCCTCCCCCTCCCCCCCAGTGATGTTCACTACCCAGGTTGCCACTGAGGCCCTTGTTCTTGGTTATTCATATGTATGCAGTTAAATGTTTGTTATGGAAATTTGTTTGCATTATTCATGCTCCTCCCCCCCAATATTGCATAATGCTCAAATATGATTTTATTAATATGTCTTTTCTTGCAGGACACTTTTCTCTATTTTTGGTAGGCTCTTACCCTGCCTTCCACTTCCGAGACTGACATGACAACACGTATAACAGTATACCAATACTGCAGTGCCCCCCGGAGGCATTGGCCCACACTCTATCACCCTCATCCCTGATCATACTTCTAAGTTCCCCTGTTCAAAAAAAGTAACTCTGATTTGCCCAATACATGTACTTGGTTTCATTACTCATCAGCAAACACTACTGTAGGTTTATTTAGTTGCGCAGTTTAATTCACAATGCTCCCTCTATGAAGAGACTGATGTGAGAAAAATCTCACCGGTCTTCGGTCGACAAACATGATGTGAGACTGATGTGAGAAAAATCTCACCGGTCTTCGGTCGACAAAGGTTGGTGAGCGCGGCTGCGCTCACCAACCTTCCTTTTTATAAGCTTTTGAGGTCCACCTTAATGGCGGGTTCTCCCTATATGGATCTACGCTGATCTCGTTCCCCACACAGTAGTTTCCATGAGCTTTTACTGACCACTTCTGGTTCATATAATCTCCCTCTTTTTCTTATTCTTCCTTCTCATTCCAGTGTTTAAATAGCTGGTCTATTCTCTCCTCTGAAACTCTTTCCTCTCTTTTTATATGTTTCCTTTTCTCCTTACCTCCTGTACCACCCCCCTCATCCCCTCTTCTGCCCCTTCTCTAACTCATGCCTCTTTCTTTAACTCACTCCCCCCCCCTTTTTTTTTTTTTTTTTTCTCCCCTCTCTAGGCCTGTAGCATTTCCCCCATTCTCCCCATCTTGCCCGTGACTCACCTGCCGTATTTCCGTCCCCTCCATCACTGTGGTTCCCAGAACCTCATCAGGACACTCATCCCTGAAAGTACTCTCTCTCAATGCTAAAGGCCTTAAAACACCTGAAAAACATTCCCTCCTGCTCTCCTCTATGCACAAGCAGAAAGCTGATATTGTTTTCCTTCAAGAGACACATTTTCGTGTGGATGCTATTCCTAAGCTCTCGTCGCACGATTCCCAACGGTGTACCACACTCCCAATCCCTCAGCCAAATCTAAAGGAGTCTCAATCTTAATTGCTAAGAATCTTCCCCTGCTTACAACGGATTCCTTAATCGATCCTGAAGGACGCTACCCGTTTCTTAAAGGGAAACTTGCTGATAGACCTATCACACTAGCTAACATTTATGCACCCAACTTTAAACAGGTTCCCTTCTTCCGCTCTCGCCACTTTACTCTCCCCCTTTCAGGCTGGATTGCTGATTTTGGGAGGTGACTTCAACATCCCTGTATGCCCTTTAGTGGACTCCTCCTCTGGTACCTCGTTTTTACCATATAGAGCACTGCGCCAGATCCACACACAACTCCCAAGTTTTTTTGCTCGACGACACCTGACGCGTCCTCCACCTAAATGACAAGGATTACACATTTTATTCCCCTCCACATAATACTGTAGATGCTCCAGAATCGATTACCTCTTTCTCACCCAAACCGACTTACCTTATCTGCACGAGGCCACCATTGAACCAATGTTTATCTCAGATCATCATCCCATTACGCTCACGTTGTGCTTCCCGTACAGACAGACCCACACCAAGGCGTGGCGACTGGACACTTCTCTCTTGTCTGATATAGCTCATGAGGCTGCTATAGGCACTGAACTTAGGGAATATTTTAAGGCTAACCTAACCCCATGCACTTCCTCTTTAACGCAGTGGGAAGCACACAAATGTGTCATTAGTGGGACTTTGATTGCCCTTGCCACAAAACGCAAGCACTTATAAAAACCCTCACGGATCGCATTATGTTTCTTGCAAGAGTCCATACACCCAAGCCTCTCTGACTTTGGCAGACCTGACGGAGGGTCGTTCACAACTGGGTAAAGCAAGCAAACGTAAATATATCTTGACTCGGAAACTCTTTTGCAAGCATGCCAATAAAAGTGGCAAATTCCTGGCTAGGGCTCTTCGAGCCAAAAAAATCAAACTTAACAGTTTATCAAATATGGGGTACTGATGGTTCTCTGGCTATTTCAAACATAGACATCGCCTCTCACTTTGAGCGTTATTATAACATATTGTACAACCTCCCCTCGGAACCCCCACAAAACAAGGGCGAAGGTTCAAGGCCCAACTTAATTTCTGATTTCCTGCATCTATACAGTCCGTCATGTATCCCGGAAGAGACTGCTCAGGACTTGGAATGACATATCTCTATCTGAGAGTTGGAACAAGCAATCAAACAAATGAAGCCTGGAAAAAGCCCTGGCCCTGAAGGTCTCCCCTTAGCCTAGTACAAAACATTTTGCGAATACTCTGCATGCCCTGTTCCTGTCAGTTTTTAACACCTTTTCTACCCTCCCCATTTTGCGTCACCATCTTTTAGAGGCTCACATTACAGTCATCCCCAAAGGAGATAAAGATACATCAGTAACCAATTACAGGCCCATATCGCTGCTGAACGTCAATGTCAAACTATAAGCAAAAATCCTAGCCAATCGTCTTCTACCCATTCTGCCCTCCCTCATAAACCTGGACCAGGTGGGTTTTATCAATGGAAGGGAAGCCAGAGACAACACCATCAAGGCTCTGAACCTTCACCACTGGTTACGCACCTTTGGTTTCTTTGCAGACTGCTCTGCTCTCATTTCTTTGGAATCACAAACATCCACATATTTCCTTCTCTCAATTGGTGCTCCCCAAATCTAGATTGGGCTCCCAGACTTCCAAAAATATCACTGGGCCTGCCATCTCACCAGAATTATTGACTGGAATGCTCACTCATCTACTAAGTCTTGGGTGCTCTTGGAAGACTCTTTTTCGTAATCGTTCATTTCCTCGCTCCTCTGGCTCTATGTAAAACAGATCTCACACGTCCTTTTCCTCTCACCCAGTCTTTGGACCGACCCTAAAAACAGTCTACTCTGCTTGTAAGACAGCCTCCATTTCCACTATTCCTAGCCAACTGACCTCTATACACTTGAACCTGGAATTCTCTCCGGGCACGCACAACGCTTTCCTAGCTGAACATTGACCCCATCGGCACATGAGGGCTGGGAATTTCTTTCATAAAGGTCAGATGAAGACCCACACATCTCTAGCAAGATCCATGCGAAGTCAGATCTTCCCTTTCTGGGTATATCTCCAGCTAAGACACTTTCTTTAGTCCCCTGAGTATCTTCATAAATGGAATCGACCTCTCACCCCCCTCGTATCTATCCGTTTCAAAGCTGACCCTCAGCGGCATCTTATGTCAACCACATATCTACTATTGTTTGGCAACAGGCCTCCACAATCACTCCCTGCTTGCCGAGCATGGGAAAGAGACTTGGCTGTAGAATTGTCAACCCCGGAATGGGAACAAATGTTTACTTGCGCTCATAAAAGCTCTCTCAATTTTTTTCACCCAGGAAAATAGGTGCAAACTCGCCTCATGCTGGTATCGAACTCCCTCGAGGATTCATCGATTCAATACCTCAGTGCCCAATAAATGCTAGAGATGTGGTGGAGAGGTGGGTTCTCTTTCA